TCAAGCTGTTCAAATTATATCACGAAACATTGCAGTTCCCCCGGCCGGGTAAGGAAATAAATCCCGAGGTAAATAAATCGCGAAATAAAAAAAAGAAGAGAGAGAGAAAGAGAAAGGAAAAAAGTAGGTCAACGTATTATATTTGTAAAGTAAAAAAAAAAAAAAAAAAAAAAAACTCTCGTATTTCTTCTCCTTCAAACGGATCCTGTTGTTGTGGATTCTATTAAATTTGCTGATTGAAGGGTAAATACGATTCACTTGTACGATCCCCTCCCCCTCTCCCCTCTGCACAAACGTACGCCAGCGTTAAATAACATTTTTTTCAACGTCAAATCGAATAAAAAAAAAAAAAGGCAAAAAAAAAAAAAAAAACCGTAATATCTCCATTCAACGAATGCAACGCGATTTTATATCTTAATTCCACGGTTTACAAGTGTCTCCCTTCACTGAAATCATCCTGTACAATTTTTTCCCCTTCCGGGGAGAGGGTTAATCCGGCGGATTTAATCCAGAGAGGAGAGGAGGGGAAGGAAAGAGAGACCCTTCTTCCTTCGTCTCACCGAAAGGTTTTCACCAGGATGGCCGCGCGAATCGAAGAATTCATATATAGAGCTAGTCGGTGTAACTCTTAAAACTCTTTATTTTTAAAACCGGTTGTATTTCATCGATCCGTTCGATAAAAAGAACGAAGGAAAAACGGTTGAAGGTTTGAAAGGTGTGTATGGTATTACTCGAGAGGGGGATTGACAGGGAGGGTGGGGGGAGAAGAGGAAATGGGACGAGAAAAGTAAAGATGTTTTTATCTCTCGGTGCAGGTAATTAACTTCGACTCGCCGCGAGGTGGTATCAGCCTGGTGACGGAGAAAGGGCCCGAGACGACGAGCCGTTTAATGATCCAGAAAGCGGTGATGACCGACTCTGGGATCTACACCTGCGAGCCGAGCAACGCGAATCCGAGCAGGATTAAGGTGCACGTTGTTGACGGTGAGCTGAACGTGAAACGTTTTTCTAATCCTATAACGCTATAACCGCGAGAGTTTATTTTAATCTCTCGTTCCGTGCGTGACGAAAACGCGTCGAATTGAATTCCTCTGCTATCGAAGAAGTAAAAAGAAAAAAAAAAAAAAAAGGAATCGACGCGAAAATGTATCGTGCGGGGGATGGGGAGACCACGAATGTTTAAACCGTGGTTCGACGCGATTTAAAAACCGAGAGTCTCGAAGCGAATTCTCCCGCCGGCGGATATCGAGTTTCAAGTACAAAAGATAGTTGGAAAAATGTTGGCGCGAGATGCATCTCGAGATCCAAAAATGATTGCGTGCATATCGATGACAATGCTTGTACTGAATTTTCGAATGCTCGAAAGGAAAATCGAATAAAAAAGAAAACTCTCATCTTTCTTGGTGGGAAAAAAAATGCATAGGACGATTGTATGATTCTTCTTCCGCGTCAACGCGGAATGAAAAAAGAAAGGAAAAAAAATCTTTCCACGATGCGATCGTATTATCATAGAAGAGAAAATTTCACGACGCATATGCTACCTATCGTGTGTATAATATACACGTGGGAAATCGTATATCGCGTAGAGAGTTGAAAATCTACGTGACGCGTGCGTTCACGTCGGCCGCCGTGGAATAAGAAATCTTTCCCTCGTCGAATAAAAAAAAAATCTTTCCACTATGCGATCGTATACGTCGATGAATATCACAGAAGAGAAAATTTCATGAGACGTACGTCGTCTGTCATGTTAATAAATATAGAGAAATCGTCATTACGCGTATGTCACGTGATTCGCCATAGAATAGGAAATCCCTATAACACGTCAACCGAATAAGAGATCCCCATAATCATCGTGACAAAATAGAAAAATCCTCGTGATACAATCCTCGTGTGCATCAACTAGCATAGAATAAAAAATTCTCATGATCCGGTCACGTGTGCTTCGCCAGAGAGTAGAAAATTTGCACGACGCATACGTCTATGTCGATAAAATAGAAAATTCTCCATGACGCGTACATTCACGTCACCCGCCATAGAGTAAGAAATCGCCCGCCATAATAACCGCCCGGTATAAGACGGAAAAATCCAGAGTAGGAACCGGAATAGGAAACCCATGCATTTGTATCGCCACGAAGAAGAAAACTTGTCGCGTAAAATTTTTCACGTCACCCGTCATAGTGTAAAAAAATCCCCACGACAATCATCGTAATATAGAAAAATGCTCGTGTCGCGATCCTCGTGCGAGTCACTAGCCCAGAATAGAAAATATCATACATACGTCATAAGTAGAAGAAAATCTGCACGACGTCCACGCCAACCGCCATGGAACAAGAAACGAAGCACGCTATCCTCGAGTATGCGTCAACCAATATAGAAGTAGGAAATCCCATGATCCGATCGTGTATCGTCATGGAATCAAAAAATCCTCCACGATTGTCGTAAAATAGAAAAATCCTCGTGTGTGCGTCAACTAAGCATAGAATAAGAAATTCTCATGATCCGATCATACGTACATTGCCATAGAAAATCTGCACGACGCCGTGGAAACAGGAATTCCCCCATGACGCGTGCGTCCACGTCTCCCGCCACGGAGTGAGAAATCCCTCGTTACAACCGCCATAAAATAAGCGGTAATCCACGCGATACGATCCACTCGTGCTCGTCGACCAGTGGAAAAATATCCGCGCGACGCGTACATCCGCACTGTGAAAACCCCTCTCTGCTGAAACTCGTCCGATCTTTCTCCATCCTTTCCTTTCTCCATCATCTTTCTTCCTCCTCGTTGATCGAATTCGTTTTTTTTCTCTTCTCTCGCCCCTCCCCTCTCTTCGTCCCAAAGACGAAAGAGATGATGCGCGCCAGAGAATCGACGTTTCGTCCGGATCGATGCGAGCAAAGAGTTGAAGGCTGTGAGGGAGGAGAGAGAGGCTGGAGGGGAAGTCGACCGTTTAGAATTTAAAAATTCGTAAAGAGGCGCGACCGTCGACACGAGTCTCGACGAGTGGATACGAAGGCGCGAAGTTGACACGGTTTGTGCCGACTCGAGTATAGCAAGGTGGAGGGGGAGAAACGAGTTTAAACGCGTCGCGCGGTTTCACGTTTCATCGTGCTTTCGGTTTCACGCTCTCTCTCTCTCTCTCTCGAACAAAACATTTTTATAAAACGAAACGTTGGCATTTCAAACTTACTTTTATTCTATTTTTTTTTTTTTCCCTCCTCCTCCAAAAAAAGAATAGAAATTTTACGGACAGATCGTACGAACTCTCCTTTCTCATTCGGTAAATTATCAACGGTCGCAGCTTATCGACCTGGGACGGCTGAAAACGGGCGATGGTGGATAATTCGAAATAAGTTAAGCCCGAGTTTCCGGCGTGTTATTTATCAACTTCAAGCGTTAATTGCTCGGTAGAATGGGCCGCGATACACCCCTTTACCCGACGCGAATGCAGATCGATGCGACACGACGTCGGCCGGTGTGCAACGGCCGGTGATTTATCACCGTCATCGCGAACGTGTCCGCTCCCTTGTTCTTTCTCTTAATCGTTCGCCGCTCTCGAAATCGATCCGGCCCCCGCTCCTCTTGTCTTCTCCGCCGGGCGGAGAAATTTCGCGCGCGAATTTTGAAATCGTGACTCGGACGAGAATGTCGTTCGAACATTCTGTTGAATACACGATGATGATAATTAATTGAATTGAACATGAAATGAATTAACGGAGGGGAAACGATTGTGTGTTGCAGAGGAAAGGCCGGCCGCTATGCATCACGGAGATGGAAGTTCGTCGTACGCCGAGACACTGCCAATGTGTTTTGTAATTTTAATAGTAGCCAACGTAATATTTGTATAAGGGGGTTAATTAGTGAAGGTAATAAAGGGGAGGATTTTTAACCGGGTTTTTTAGCGCGGTTTCGACAACAATGATTCGCGGTCAACACTCGATCGATAACACTCGCATTTGGGTATAAATATTTGCGCAGGGTAAAAAAAAAAAAAAAACCGGTTAATTACCTTACATTTACAATTTCAATTTCCGTGACCAAAGAGTTTTCGATATATCAGCACGGCACAATAATCGATAAGAGCGTAGTATTTTGTTAAGATATTATCATCAAGAGCGGCGAATAACGTACCGAATAACGTCAAAAATTTATTGTATTATTTGTAAATAAATTTATTGTATGTACATATCAATAAAAACGATTGTCTTTACCTTTTTTTTTTTTTTGACTTCTTTTTCTCTAAATATGTTATCGAGGAGGTACAAATATTATATATATATATGTATATATGGATATATCTTTGCCGAATTGTCCAAAAAGTTAGCCCGAAAATAACGCGAAAAATTTTCTTCTTTTTTTTTTTTTTTTNTTTTTTTTCATTCGTTTCCAATCTCATCCCAAAATTTGTTATTTCAATTAAAAAATTTAATTTAAAAGAAAAAAACTACCTTATGCGGGGACGATTTTCATCGTATAAATGGCAAATTATTCGATAAACAAAAAAAAAAAAAAGAATTGGTTGATAACGGTATATGTGTATATATTATAATAAAACTACTAAAAAAGAATTCGTTTCTATCGCACTATCTAGAATAGAACGAAAGAAGAAATCGGAGGTAAGAAAAAAAAAAGAAAGAAAAAAAAGTGGACTTTACTTTTCAGCTCCCACGACCACGTTTTCAGTCGAAGAAACGATGACATGGCGACGACATGGCTAACGACACCGTCGATTACTTTTATCTCTCGTTGTGTTCTCGTGCGTCGATTAACGAGCACGGTACAACTCGCATACCCCGCATGTACACGCGAAATCCGGTTAAAAACAGAAGAGAAAATCGTTGTTCAACGAGATATATATATATATATATATATATATATACACTCTCTCGACCGACCGAGAAATTTCTTATCCTCCAACGACGACGAAATTTGCCAAGTTGAGAATATAACGCGTTGAACGCGATCCCTTTCTTCCGGGAAGAGAGAATTCCACCTCCTCCTCCTCCTCCTCCTCCTCCTCTTTCAACCGGTCGGGCACAAAGGTTGAGTGCGTGCGCCTGAACCAGAACCGTTTCCGATGTTCGACCTTCCCCGCGAAAAACTGGGTCGTCCCGACTTTAAAACGACTGTTTCCCCGTATCGAGGTTGCAGAGTTCACCGTCCCCTTTATTCGCTTAAAGTTGGAAAAGGCGATTTCTCGTGGCCGGATAAACGATCGGCCGAACGCATCGGCGGTAACGACGGGAATATCAGTTGGCCGCTGTACACCGAGCCGTGTTCAAATAGTCGATAAAAATCGACTATTTTCGGCTCCCTTAGGCGTGGAATCATCGGGGGGGCGGTCCACGCGCGTTGCTGCTGCGTTTGCTGTTGTTGTTGCGACTTCGCCCAGCCGTTCTTCTTTTTCTTATCTCGTTTCCGCGGATGCTCGACCAGCGTTATCGATTTGCCGAACACGAAGAGGCAGGGGGCCCGAGATAGGGTCGGAAATCGGGTATAAAAAAAAAAAAANAAAAAAAAAAAAAAAAGAAATTGGTTGATAACGGTATATGTGTATATATTATAATAAAACTACTAAAAAAGAATTCGTTTCTATCGCACTATCTAGAATAGAACGAAAGAAGAAATCGGAGGTAGAAAAAAAAAAAGAAAAGAAAAAAAAGTGGACTTTACTTTTCAGCTCCCACGACCACGTTTTCAGTCGAAGAAACGATGACATGGCGACGACATGGCTAACGACACCGTCGATTACTTTTATCTCTCGTTGTGTTCTCGTGCGTCGATTAACGAGCACGGTACAACTCGCATACCCCGCATGTACACGCGAAATCCGGTTAAAAACAGAAGAGAAAATCGTTGTTCAACGAGATATATATATATATATATACTCTCTCGACCGACCGAGAAATTTCTTATCCTCCAACGACGACGAAATTTGCCAAGTTGAGAATATAACGCGTTGAACGCGATCCCTTCTTCCGGGAAGAGAGAATTCCACCTCCTCCTCCTCCTCCTCCTCCTCCTCCTCTTTCAACCGGTCGGGCACAAAGGTTGAACGCGTGCGCCTGAACCAGAACCGTTTCCGATGTTCGACCTTCCCCGCGAAAAACTGGGTCGTCCCGACTTTAAAACGACTGTTTCCCCGTATCGAGGTTGCAGAGTTCACCGTCCCCTTTATTCGCTTAAAGTTGGAAAAGGCGATTTCTCGTGGCCGGATAAACGATCGGCCGAACGCATCGGCGGTAACGACGGGAATATCAGTTGGCCGCTGTACACCGAGCCGTGTTCAAATAGTCGATAAAATCGACTATTTTCGGCTCCCTTAGGCGTGGAATCATCGGGGGGGCGGTCCACGCGCGTTGCTGCTGCGTTTGCTGTTGTTGTTGCGACTTCGCCCAGCCGTTCTTCTTTTTCTTATCTCGTTTCCGCGGATGCTCGACCAGCGTTATCGATTTGCCGAACACGAAGAGGCAGGGGCCGAGATAGGGTCGGAAATCGGGTATATTTTGTTTGTAGATCAGGCTGAAACCGCCCGTGTCCGCTTCTGGATTCAATGGCACGTCCATCACCACTGAAACCAATTGTATGATTAGCCTCATTCTTCTCGCGAAACGAGAATCTATCGAGAGAAAAATTCTATTAAAATTAGAAAAACTTTGAATCGCTATAACTCCGAACGTAATGATTTCTGGTGAACGAACGACAGGTCGTTAGAATCGTGGAACTTTGCGCTTTAAAATGCTTTTTGATTCATCTCGATATGACTTTCGATTGTCGAGATATCGTCGTGTAAAGAGAAGGGTAATTTTTAATCGTTTCGCTTAAACCTGATGTAAATTCTATTAAAATTAGAAAAACTTTGAATCGCTATAACTCCGAACGTAATGATTTCTGGCGAACGAACGACAGATCGTTAGAATCGTGGAACTTTGCGCTTTAAAACGCTTTTTGATTCATCTCGATACAACTTTCGATTGTCGAGATATCGTCGTGTAAAGAGAAGCGTAATTTTTAATCGTTTACCATCGGATCTATCGCTCGCACGCCTCGTCTCGCTGACCTATCTTAACACGAACGCGATTCCTGGAAAAACGTATTTATATATATTTTCATAGGTCACCGAGTCTCGTTCGTGACCTTCGCGCGAGTAGAGAATTGGAAACTTTGAATCTTTATATCTCGGTAACCGATCGAGATATCGAGATAATTCAAAAAGCGACTTAAAGGGCATGGTTTCCTCTATTTTCTGGATAATTTTTAAGTGACGAAATTTCTTCATCAAGTTTCTCCTCTTTGAAGCATAGAAGATCTCGTCTCTCCGATTGTAACGTTTCTAACAAATGTTGTTTAATCGAAACACGGGGACTCGAGTACCAATCAATATCAGACTAGTTTCGAAAGCCCGTTCGAGTATTCGCAAGAAGAACGAAATATATCGTCCCGTTGACTTGTCCCGGCCACTATCCCCGCAAACTTTCATCCACGTACTCTCGGTTTCTGACAACTTGCTTCCGCCTATAATCTCGCGCCCTATAGAATCGTGATTTGCTAACCTTTCACCAAGCTTTCGAGAACATTGGAATAGAGGCGTTTCGTATTTCTCGAGCTGGGCGGGTGCATCCGGGGATTCGTGTTGATCTCGATTAACCAGACCGAGAGATCCTCCATCACCATAAAATCGGCTCCGTACAGCTCGAAGCTGCACCTCCGCCTGTCCATATGCTCTTGGGAGGCCAGCATCGTGAGAATTATCGCCTCCGACATTTTTGGATATATATTTTCGTAATACGGCTCCCCGCTAAGCCCTAAGTTTTGCCTGCGAAGAACGAAGATTAATTTATATCAACGCTTGTTAAATTTCTTTTTAAGATTACTTTTTAAAACTCCTTGAAAGCTTTTCGTAGACTTTAGACACAGAGGAATTATTCTTAATATATAAGAATAAAATTAAATTTATGATTTTACATAAATTTCGATATATTATTCCTCGTGAAAATAATGGAGAGACGAGAAAAGCGATTCGGTCTCCGGAAGAACTTTCGAATAAAACGCCATCAAGCGTGACGAACGAATAAAAAAGAAAAAAAAAAAACCCAGAGACTTACACTTCGACTACAACGAACAGAGATTTACTTTAAATATTCGTTCAGCTTCTCGCAGTCCCATCCTTGATCACGAATCGTTTTTACGACTTCCTCCTGATTTCCTCCACGTTTCCTTCGCCTTCTCCTCTCCTCGTCGTACTTCTCCTGAATTGCGGTATTGCAGATATGAATCGCCTCGTGATAGGTGGAGAAAGTGTAGGGTTTCGAGCTGAATCGAAGGAGCCCCTCCCTGGAATATAAGGAAAAGTAAGTAAGGGAAAATTCATTCAGAATTCCACCAAGGGAGACACCTTCGAGGGGATGAAATTTCGTTTACATTCTGATTTTAACATCATCGTCTAAGCTAATTTTTGAAACGGAACGATCGGAAATATCGTATCGCAATTACTTGAATATCCATATGGTGAGTGGAAATGTGTTGGTGACCAGGAACCACTGTCTTATATCAAATTTCGTATCGTGGACCAGCAGAGGATGTTCTGAAATTAAATGATCGGGGAAAAATTGCACTTCGAGATCGATCGAACAATCGATTCTTTTTCCCATTATACTTACCGATATACTTCTGAACGATGAAGTAATCCTTGGGCCGACTTTTTATCTTGCGGAATATATCCTTCAAGTTGTGAGATATGCTGATCCCGGTACCGCAACAAAGTTCGCTCGGTTTCAAAATCCACATGTTCCTCATCCCGTTCAGCTCGTATTGCGGGTCGACATCTTTCAATTTCGCCAATATCGAATTCGCCATGTCCACGTATTTCTTATACGTATAATTATGCAATAACATTATCAACATATTTATATTTATACAAATATAAAAAATTAATACATTTAACTTTAAATTATAAATTGTTATATAATTATATATATATATATGTACATATAATTTTTAAATAATAAAAAGTTAATTATACATATTTAATTATATATAATTAAATATATTTAACTTTAAATTATTAATTGCTATATAATTTTATATATATTAATTTAAATAATAAAAAGCGAATTATATATAATTAATTATTAATATAAATATAAATAATTATAAAAATCTAAAAAATTAATATATTTAACTTTAAATATAATTATATAATTATATATATTAATTTAAATAATTAATGTATTGAGTTCAAAAGTGAATTATAATTAATATAACTATATTAATTAATTTAAATGAATAATACATCAAGTTTAAAAGTGAATTATATATAATTAATTGTCAATATATATGTATTATATAACAATATTATTAATATATTTATTTATATATGAATCTTAAAGAAAAAAAAAAATTAAACGATTTTTCTAAGAAAGTGGGAAGAGAAAGCGTACTTGTATCTGATCCTGATACTTGTCGGTGGTCTCGATCCCAGCGCCCTCGTGCACAGCCGCCATGTAATCCTCGAGAAAGGAGTTCCACTCCTCCTCCGTGAACTCGGTGACGATATCCTCGTCGATGTCCTGGTGATTCTCGCACGCGATGAACTCCTCGCAACGCTTCATCGCGAACTCGAGCCGGTTGATGAGGTGGTCGCACATGTTGCAGCAACTCTGCTCGCAGCAGCCCTGCACCTTCTCGACGAACCACTTAAGCAGGCCCGCAGCGGCTGTCAGCCGGAAATCCTCGAGGAATATTTTCGGCTCCCTGCTCAGGTTGTAACTCCTTGGGAAGAGGACCGAGGACACGTCCTTCTCGTACAACCAGTGAGCGTCCTCCAGCAAACGAGCCATTCCTAGCTACACACGCATTTTTCGTTATTCCGAATTTCGATATTCATCTGACTTTTGATTTTGAAATGAATTTTGATTTGAGACGAGAATGATGTTTGTCGTAGTACAACCTTGGATGTGTAGACGGAAGGCTTTTGATATCTGTTGAGGACCGTGGTGCTGCTTAGGCCGCGATGCCAATCGACGAAGTCGTTCCGGCAGTCCCATATAAAGTCTGGCGATTTGTGACGTAGCAGAGCGAAAATTATCGCCCTCTCGTTCAAAGAGCCGTCCGGCTGGGTTAGATCGCCCAATGATTTAGCCTCCAAGCTTGCCACGCTGCCTAAAAAAAAAAAAAAAAAAAAGATGGTTCGGTTTAAAAATCGACCGAGCATAAATTACGAACTATTATTTACGTTATTACGAGAGTATAAGGTATACAGGGTGTTTATAAAAATGTGGGACACCTTTGGATTCTAGACATCGAAACGATGAAAAAAGTTCATATACATATATGTCCGATAAGGGTTAATTAACGAGTTATAAGGATTTTAAGTTTATACTGGATAGAGCGAGAACGCTGAGCTTGCAGTGCCGTATTGTAATGTCGCTTGCGTAGCGGAACCCCTCGATGAAAATATGTTGATACAATTGATTGTTTCAAATGAATTTCAATATAAATATCGTGTAATGTAAGCTATGCAGCAATATTTAAAAAAAAATTTTGCAATTGTGCAAATTGAAATCTATGTAATTAATTATTTAACAGAAGCTTTAACCTCAGACTAAAATTAGAGTAAGTTTCACATTATTTGGAATTATATGATGATTGTACGATATCTCATTTAAAATCATAAATGAATCGTTGCATTTTATTCAACTTATCAAAATCCATAGAAGCAAGTCGAAACACACTTCTACAAGATTAGAAAAGATTTTATAAACACCCTGTATATATACCGTCAATATTTTTAATTAAAGAGAGTAGAATTTTAAAAAAGAGAAAAAGATTTAATTAAGAAACGGCGGGGAAACTAACCGTAAGGTAAATTTCTCGTTTTTGTTGCCTCGTATTTTTGCACCCAACCTCTCTTCTCCAGAGCTTCCTTCAATTTCGGTAATTCGCCCCGTATCAAAAATATTTTGTGTCTCTGGAACATTACATTGGATCTTGAAAGAAAACACTCAAAAGAAAACACTACTTTGATGAACGATTAATTCCCAAAATAATATCCCAATTCTTCCAATTCTTTAAAACGCAGGTTTAAATTTTCGTCAACTTTTAATATATATATATATATATATACCTTGATGGCTTTAACGACTTTCGTTTTAATTTTCCGATAGCGTTCCTTTTTCTCCCACTTAACTTTACAACAGTCCTCGTCTTTGCCAACCACGGCGCTCCTGTAGCTCTCGCCCATGACGTCCAAGTTAATATCGAATATGTCCCGGGGGCAGCACGAGCACGTGTCCATGTACGATTTCGGGAACGAGTTGCAATCAAGTTGTGGCAGGCTGTTAACCATGCAGATCTCGGTTTCAGTTTCCGAGGATGTCCATTTCGTGCACATCTTCGTCCAATCGACCCTATTGTACGGATTTACCGGGCTCTCCTTCTTTTCCAGGATGAAAGAAGCGCTATAGATCTTATCATCGTTTATCATGTAATCCGTCACGCCCGCCGAGGACTCTTTCGTACTCTTGGTATCTCTTGAACGTGAAACATTTTAACATTTATTATTACGATATTATTACCCTCTTTCTAGCTTTTTATTTTTTTAGAAGAAAAAAGAAAGGAGGTTCGAGCAAGGTTTGTAAACCGCAGTTTTTAAACCACGTACTTTGAATCGAATGGTATATCCATGGTCGCTTCGAAAATTATTTTATTATCATGTCCTGCGAAAAGTATCTACGATTAATTAACGGTGATTCAGGAATTTTTCTGAGAGAGAGAGAGAGAGAGAGAGAAAGAGAGGTGGAACGATACAAATATTTGTCGACTTTCTTACAGTTTAAACGCCTCGTGGATGAAGCGAGAAAGGGTATATCGATCAATCTGCTTGTTTAACCCGGCCTCCTTATTGTCCGGCGAGCTTAATCGCCTAAGTAATTAACCTTTTATGCAACGAAACTTTGGAGAAACTGGTTTTTTGCCCTTTATATTCAAGAATCAAGCGTTAATTTAAACACTTTTACTCTATGTACTATCCTTCCTTTTTTTTTTTTTTTGAAATTCACGAAAGAAAATTCACAATACCTGAATTATTATAAAAGAAGAAGAAAAAAAGTTCTTGCTTCGTTATCTTTCAAAAGGAAGTTATCTTTCTTTTATATATATATATATATATATATATATATATATAT